GCACACAGACTGCAGGCAGCAGAGGAAGGTGGCACAGAGCAGGGAATACAAGCTTCTACAGGAGTAGGCCAACAGAGGCAGACTCTACACATGTTCCTTTGCCGCTTCTGCTCCTTCTTTTCCACTCCATGGAGATGGGGTGTTAGATTAGGAGGAGGAGGAAGTGTTCTGAGCCTGAGGATGTTTTCTAAGCCCTGGCAGGTTGTAAATCTGAGGGGTGGGTTGGACTGTATTGTGATCCTGGAAGTGTTTGGTGAGAGAGGGGCTCCGTGCCATGGAGAAAGTAAGTAGATAGAAAGAAGAAGGGTGATTAGCCTGAAGGATAGGGTACAATGAAGGGGTGCGAAGGGGTGTTTTGGGGCAGGTGGGGTTGCAGTGTCACAAACTCTCATGATTTTATAGCAAATCCCATGATATCTGGTGATTTTCATAAAACCCCAGCTTCAGGAATTACTTGACTTACGTAAAAATCTAAGATTTTGTTTTTAAAATAATTAAAAGCAAGTTTCTAAGCTTCGTGGTTGTGGAGGCTCCACAACCAGAGGGCAAATAAAAAATCTCAGCTTTATTATTTTTAAAATCTCATGGTTTTTAAGCCAATCTCATGGGTTGGGGAGGTGGAGTTTTGGCCTTGACTCATGTTTTTTGCATGCTTCAGTTTGGCAATACTCTGGTTGGATTGGAGGGAGCTGAGGTGGCTTGAGGGTTGTTCTCAGTTGGGAGGGGAAGAGTTTGGGTTGGCAGGGTTAAATGGAGTCAGATGCTGGATTAGGTTGTAGGTGAACTGTGCATGGATAAGGATTGGAGTTGAAAAGTAGGTTGGATGGAGAGAAGTTGGGCCTAACAGAGAACAGTAAAGGGACCACATTGCCCATTAACATCTGAATTTTTCATTCTGAAACAGAGAGAGAGAGAGTTGGAGAGGGGGTGGGGGGGAAAGTGTGTGTGCAGATTGCTACCTGCAACCCCACCTCTAATTTGGGGCATGTCTGCCACTGCTACTATAACAGCATTATTTATTCAGTTTGACCAAAACTCCTCAGGTAATAAAATGAAGTGGATGCTGAGATGGAAGTTGTCCTTTTGCCCACCACAGCTTTTTCATGTACAATAATAGCCCAGTACTAAAAGCATAGATTCCACTAAGCTGCCAAGTGTGTGTATGGATACATCAGCTGGATTTGCAGGAGTGGAATTGCTGTCGAATCTAAATTTAGATGTAGATTGGCTGCTTTGAAATCATTATCTGTTAGCTAAATTCTGCTGTTTGGAAGCTTAGAAAGTGTGAGTCATAGGATTAAAAATATTTAACTGTGTATATATTTTTACCGAAATAAATGTTCATCACTTGCAAACTCTCTAAAAGGGGTTGGAGGCATGTTAAATAGATATTATGGCCAACAGATTAAAACATGATACTATTAAGAAAAAAATTGAGAAGGATAATATGGTAGAAAAAAACAAATGAAAAGTAAAGAAGACTAAAATAGTCAAGAACTGAATGCAAACGGACTAGAATTGGTTGGTGGGGGGGTATTATTATTTAAAGGTGAAAACAAAAATATCTATTTTCCAAGGAAGTTTTTGTATTAAAAAAATAACAAAAACATTTTTTTATGCAGACTGATTCTTGTTTTCAAGAAAAAAGCTGACTCAGCTGTCTGTCTAAATGGGCACTTAAAATCCAGTAAGGAAATGAATGCTGTCTGCTTTGGTCCAGCAGTTTGTGATGTTCTCATTTCTTAAAAAATCTGCTTCCAACATGTGGATTGTACCCAGGCAGTGGAGCAGCAGAACTAATGAGGGATAAAGCAATTTGTATTAAAATCTTTTCCTTCCCCCCCATAAATGTTCAGATACCATTTTTTTGTTTGGTTGGTTTTAGTACATATTTTTCTGCGAGAATAAATATCAAGTCTTGAGTTTACTGATTGTATGAAACAGTTTTACAAAATTCCTGTGACAAATACTTTATTAAGTCTGGCAAGTAAAATTTGACATGGCTGGTGTAAAATGTGGGTATGAATTTAGTTAAGTGGTCCCCTGCCATAGTCACTGAATATCATTCAACCTTACATACCTTATATCAAGTTCATATTCTTTAGACCTTGAGGGTGTCTGTTTGCCCATAGCATTATCAGTTCTCACACAAAATACTCATTCTTCCCTCTCCTGGAGTGCAGTCTTTACACGTGGCTGGGCCAGTGTTTCCAACACCTTTTTTTACCCGTAATGAGGAGTGATAAGACAGAATAATTTCAGTGCTGGCCTTAACTGATGGATCTGAAAGCCCAGAAATCAAAGAGATTGATCAGGCTGTTGCCAGGGAAGGGGAATAAGAGGCTTGGTATTGAGGCTGGAAACATTCCCACTTCCCAGTGCAGCCAAGCAGTCAGAGAGCTTCCCACCCACCTTCTGATGGATCTTGGGGATGGAGTGTTCTGTATTGACAGAGAACAGGACATAAATTAAGGTATGGGATAACAGTCTTAGCAGCTTTTTATGCTCTAATGTGCTATGTCCCTGACTGTGCAGGTCCTTTTAATAGCAATAGTGCATGGATGGAGGAGCAGTGGTGGGCAGAAGTTGTGGGAAGATAGTATAAAATTCTGAGGCCCTAAGTTTATTGACCTCAGACTATTGTCCCAAAATTAGTTTCAAAGTGGGTAATAGGAGAGGGCTCTGGCAGATGTCAATGATACCACTGGTGAGAATAGGTATGAAGAACCTTCTCTGGGGGTCACAGTTCCTGCCACATGGAATGACCTGGTGAAGGCATTTGCTTTTGGGGCACTGGGTCTCTGGGGAAATTAGATGATGGCTGTATCTGTAGGCAGTCAGAGCCTTGTGGTTTGCATTTGGGAGTACAGGGATCTGGGATGCCAGGATATGTTTTATTTGTCAAGTAAATTAGTTAATACGTATGCAACTGCATGCTTTTAAATTTATACTGGCTTTATGTGAGGTTTTCTGGACTGACGACAAGAGGATGGACAACTGTGTGGATGGTACAGGCAGACAAGGCCAGATTGTGACCTTCTCTTTCCTGAGTTGCAGCAGATGCTGGGACCAATCTTGTGAATCCGGCCCTAAATTTATGCACTTATTCCTTCAAAACAGAAACCCAAAAGTATAATCCAGACTCTTCGTTCCCTTCAAGCCCTTTACCCCCATTATACTGTATCAAAACTAACAATCCACTTTTTTACAGCCTGTTATGTGCTGTATTTCTTCCAGACTACCATTTTGCATCTCATAGAAATGAGTGCATGATTGTTGTATTTGTATAGTTGATGCAGCACCATAGGTCCTTCAAGAAGAAAGGTGATATATCAGTGTAAGATGTTGTTAGTGGTAGTGTTTTAAGCCATATATATGGTCAGCACCATATTTTTACAGAATGCCTCTAGCAGTCTCACATAGAACCTGCTAGAGTGAGATTTAACTATCGAGAATATAGTAATGGGCACTTTTACTTTTTTAAGGTCTGATTTGTGTTTTATCAGAAAGGTATTCTGAAGTTCCAAAGGGTTTGACTTTGGAATAAGGAGATTGACATTGTATGTCATGTTAGAGGTGTAATAATTGTCTGGACTTTGAAAGTGACTTTGTTTTAAAGTAATGCTGTGCTCATGCACTGCATAAAGTATCATGTGACATTAAGAAATACATCATAGTTCTCAATTCTTCCTCAGCTGGAAGAATATTATTGCCCTTAATACCTATTGTGATTCATAGCTTCTTATGTAAAGATACTGTCATTAGTTTGGTGTTTTTTTCCTTATCTTTTTTAATAATCCTGTGTAACTGAGTGGCCCTCACAAGCACCCCTTGGTGATCCCTTGCCTCAGTTTCCATTTTGAGTTCCCAGAAACTCTATGGAAGCATGTTCTCAAGTCAATCAATATAACTTATTAACCAAACATAGTGCAAAAGATCCAAGGGCATAGTTCATATTACTCCAGTGCAAGGAGTCCTTAGAATCACACATCCTCTTGGCTATTTACATAACACATCCTTGGTTCCAATGTCTTCTGCCACACCCAGACTCGTTGCAAATCCTCCTTCATCCCTCTATCAGAACAGCCACTCTAGCCCTTCCTTCTGGGATCAACCCCACTCTTCCCAGCAGGAACTCCCACAGCCTCTCAACTCGGACCCTCTCTTAGGCCTCAGCTCTGCAGCAAAGAAACACCAGTGAGTAAACCCCCCTGCCGCTCCCCCCTTCCTTCAGACCACTCTGACCCTGGGCTCTGGCTCTCTGTCTTAGAGCCAGCAGGCATTTCCCTCTGCTGCTCTTCCTGCCTCTTCTCTCCAGCTCTCAGGGGCAGGGGAGAGGAGAACACCAACAAGAAAACCCCTTGCTGCACATCTGCCTTCAACCCTCTCCCAGGAACCTCTCTTTGGCAACTCGCATCTCCTGACTCACTCAGTCTGCTCTGACACACTGGATTTCACCTGGTCTCCTAGAGCCCCTTAGGTGCTACCCTGCTCCTTAATTGGCCCATCTTGGAACATGTGGACTGAAACAGGAGAGCTGCACCCAGTTTCATTTAATGGGCAGCAACAGCCCCCCCCCCTTCCCTCTAGTTACATCCTGTCTTTCCTTTCTGATGTCCAAGCAGAAATATTTGGGTACTGCTCAGTGCAGAAAGGTTCTTATTTAACCATTCTGTATCTAAAAGTTGTCCGTCTTTGTTATTTTATTATAACAAAATTCATGTTTATTAAAATATCTTATAACGCCTTTGCATGCTGTTACCTAACTTGATAAACAAGTCTCATAAGTCCTGAGATATAAAATGTCTAGCTAGAGTGCTGCATTATTTTATTAAAAGTCAGTTGGGTTTTTTTTTGCTAAATGAAAGTATGTTGGAGACTAGTAACCAAAAGATAGCTTAATAAAATCTCTTCAAGCACTAATATTAATGACCAGTTAACTTTCACATCATGAAAGCAGGTCAGATCTCACCTGTTCCTTGTTATAATGTTCAATGCAGGTTCTACATGGTCAGCTATTATGAGCGGAGTCACAGAATAGCAGTTGGAGCTCGCCATGGTTCAGTGGCCCTGTACGACATCCGGACTGGAAAATGTCAGGTAAATAAATCATTGTGACTTTCTCCCCACAGTGTGTGTGGAAGTTATTGAAAGGAAAGAGAGACTAGCTCTGTGCCAGTTGACATGCTGAGCTGCTGGAACATTATGGAGAATGCTAAGGGGATCAATAGTTTAATGAAGGACTCAAAGTATACAGAGCCCTACTGTCTTCATTCACTGTGACTGAATGGCTGCCATAGATGGGTTAATAACAGAAACCCCAAATAAGGTGTTACTTGTGACAAACTCCTCTGAAATAAATCTCTTGTATTTGAATTCTGATTTCATATTTGTCTGATTTTCAGTATAAAGAAAATTTACTGGTTATTTTTTCTACCGTTCCCCTTTATAAAATACACCTGTATTTCAATTATATTAACTTTTCTGGTATTAAACAAAATGTGTAGTTAGAAGAGCATGATAATATCAACCCAAAACAATAAGTTGCATAGTCAGGTTATGCTTCAGGGTAAATTTTTCAGTCTTTATATTGGAATGATTAGGACTTAGTTGAATATTATTTTGTAGTTGATAATTTTTTCATAAAATAGAATTGTTCATATTCTCTCTTATTATTGGTAATATGTTAAAGCCCTGGTAGAATTCCAAAAGCTGTTAGATTAAATGTTAACTAATTATTTTAACTAGGGCTGTCAATTAATTGTGGTTTTAACGCAAATAAGTTAACTAGATTAAAAAAATTAGTCATGATTAATTGCAGTTTTGATCCCACTGTTAAACAATATAATATCAATTTAAATTTATTATAAATATTTTTGGATGCTTTTCTACATTTTCAGACATATTGATTTCAATTACAACATAGGATACACAGTGAACAGTGCTCACTTTATGCTATTATTTTTATTACAAATATTTTCACTATAAAAAAGATAAAAGAAATAGTACTTTTCAATTCACCTCATACAAGTACTGTGGTGCAATCTTTATCATGAAAGTACAGCTTACAAATGTAGAAGTTTTTTTTACATAACTGCTCTCAAAAACAAAACAATGTAAAACTTGAGCGCCTACAAGTCCACTCAGTCCTATTTCTTGTTCAGCCAATCACTCAGACAAACAAGTTTGTTTACATTTACAGGAGATAATGCTGCCCGCTTCTTATTTACAATGTCACCTGAAAGTGAGAACAGCATTTGCATGGCACTGGTGTAGCCGGCGTTGCAAAGTATTTATGTGCCAGATGTGCTAAACATTCATATGCTTCGCCTTGTAGATTTTTTTAAAATCTTTTTTATAGTGCAAATATTTGTAATCAAAAATAATAATTAGGGCTGTCAATCACAGTTAATGCACTCAATTAACTCAAAACAAATTAACGCGTTATTTTTTTAACGAGCGTAAATCACACACCAGGCTGACGTGCTATGGGGAGGCACTGTTGCGTGGTTCTAGGGCACAGGTGCCCCTCCTCCCGCTGCCCTGTTCCACGGCTGCTCCCGCCTCCTTTCCCCCCTACCCATGGAGCCACCCCCTGGCCAAGCTGCTGCTGACTGGGAGCCTGCCTCCTGTGTGCTGTGAAGAACGGGCATGGGGGGGTTGATGTCGAGGTGTTTCCCCTCCTCTCGCCCATGTACCCGGTCGCTGTTGAGCTGGGATTGGGGAACAGGGGGAGCTTGTCCGCTGCTGGCTCAGGAATGACTGCTGCCAACAGCAGCTGCAGCAGGCTGAAAAAGCATTCAGGCTCCTGAGTTCAGTGCTTAGAGAGACAGATCTCCCCCAACACACACACGCACACGCACTTCCCCCCCCAACACACACACAGTTCCTCCCCAAACACCAAAAATGGTATTCTGTTATTGTTTAACAGTGCAATTAAAACTGCAATTAATCACAACTATTTTTTTAATCTCGCAATTAATTACAATTAATTTTTTTAATCATTTGCCAGCCCTAATTTTAACTACTTTTTGTTTTGTGGTTTTTATTTGCTCTTTCTAATTTTGTGTATAAATATAATGCTGCGTGTAGTTTCCAGGTAGAAAGCTGTGGAGTCTGAAATCCTCTGTTTATTTATAGAACAGGAAAACAGCAAAGACAATGGTACATTTCCTCATGCTTCCTCACCTCTTACCTGGAAGGACTACCTCTAGGAGTAAGAGGATAGTTCAGTGTCCATTCCCAGCATCTGATCCTTGACTTCTCAGCTGAGATTACTAGCAAGGTTGTCATTTGTGGTAGTATTTATTACGTGAACATCTGTCCATTGGGAATTGGTTTGAGTCTGAGATCACCAAATTTCTTTTACAAAGAGCCATCTGATGGCAACAGACTTTATCAGCTGACAACCTAGAGGTGAAAGCCTCCACTTCCTATTTCTGATCCCCTCAGCCATCAGCTCCTTTACATATCCTGTTTGGCTTAAATATTGAATCAGTTCCATAAGACTTGCAAAGCTTTAGTAACATACAGATCAGACTGACAGTTGACATTTTTAAAGTGATTTGTTTGTAATATCACCTGAAAGCTAAAGAAATCACTAGCTCTGATTATGTAAATCTCCTGGCCTTTATGGAAGGCTAGCCTGGATTTTAATCATTGATTGTGTTCCATCACTACAAACTGTGAGTTATTTTCAACCCTGTTATCACATGAGCCTTGACGTACCAAAACCATAGAAGGCTGTTTGATCTGGATGATGTTATTTCTTGCCTAAAGAAGCTATCCCATTCTGCAGTTTTCAGACCCTGGCTACGGCCTACCTTCTCACTGCAAAGGCACAGTCAGTTCCTTCCTTTTCTCTCAAAATATGTTTTCTTGACCCTCTTTGCCAAGCGTGCTATGAACATTGCATCACTTTCCACTCCAATCATTCAGCGATCAAGGTCATAGTATGGCTTTGTACTGAGCATTTCTGTCCATTCAGAAACTCGTCATGACATCTTTGTTGTGTACTTGGTTTCACTGGAAGCTGGGAGTGAAAAACCCCAAATAACCTCCAAGTCTGGGTCTCTCTTGTCTGTGGGCTAGTCCATATACTTTTTATGCTAATTTTTAAGTATTT